GATGTTTGATACATTTTTTACTGGGTATTGAACACTTTTTGTCCTTTCTGAATCATAATCTTAAGTTTACCTATAGGTGAACACATTGCAGACTTCTCTTGAAAAAATAACATGATAAACATCTATATTCAGAAATCCAGGAGAACAGAGGAAGCTGAGCTTTGTATATATTTCCACATATCTGGGATATGTGCTACTCCAGTAGCAAATCTGGGCTCAAAGGAAAGACTGTATCAATTGTATGTGCTTAAGGAGAGGCTGAGCTCAGCTTGGAGCTTACATGTCCTTTTTCTTTAAAGGACATAAGAATTGTTGGAAGCTGAAATGAAGACATGTTTGTCTTGTTGGTTGTGGGGTTTTTTGAGAAAAAGAGAGAGAAGCTAATTACACATCTCTGTCCTCAGAACCTATTCAGTCTCGCTGTGCAGTGCTGCGTTACACCAAGCTGACAGATGCACAAATACTTGCCAGGCTACTGAAAATTGTTGAGAAAGAGGATGTGCCATATACAGATGATGGACTAGAAGCCATTATTTTCACAGCCCAAGGTGATATGAGACAGGTAAAAGGAGAAAGACAATGAAACAAAGGCTTCTATTTAAAGCAAAAAAACTTCTGAATTGCAGCTCTCAAGGATTTCTCTCTGGAGATGTAAAGCAAAGGAGGATTTAACTTGTAGCCCATGAGTAACTAAACTATTTGGTTTTGTGAGGGTTTAAAATGCTCCATAAAAGTGAGTTGGTGGGAAGTGGATACCAAATTTGTGGGAGGAAATAAAGTCAGCATAAATTTGTGATTTTTTTTCTGTTGTTTAATGGCAAACTGCTTATTTGGCATAATTTCCTGAAGAGGGGAGTGAGAAGTAGAGCACTTCAGAAAATAAATAAGGTCTTATTTTTTTCTTTCACAGGCATTGAACAACTTACAGTCCACATACTCTGGATTTGGCTTTATAAACAGTGAGAATGTCTTTAAGGTCAGTAACAGCTGAAGACAGTTTTGTCAGGAGTTTAGCCCTATGGCTGTGTGAGATTCCATTGCTCACATAAGCCTTTCTGCTGGTTTGCAGACAGCCCTGTGTACGTAGCAGTTAGAGTAGGCCATGTGCCTTCTGAAGAAGACATCCCTAATGGCTCATGGGAGAGTTGTGAGACCTTTGCAGCTCTCTCAAAGCACACAAACCCAATAACTGCTGGGAAATTTTAGTGATAAGTCAGATTACTTAAAATTTAGACTGTATTATGGAATATTTCTGATTCAGTCCTTCATAAAAGCTTGGTGAAAATACCTGAAGTTTAATGCAAAGTCTTCTGATATTTTAAGTGTAATATTTCTCTTGGATACAGGTATGTGATGAGCCTCATCCTCTGCTAGTGAAGGAAATGATACAACACTGCATAAATGCAAATATTGATGAAGCATACAAGGTTGGTTTTCATGTCTTGTGTCAGTATTGACAGGCATTATTTATCTACAAAATTTACATTGTGTGTTGTTAAGATAAGGGCAATACCACGTAGATGAGTTGATAAACTAAATCACTTTGGGGCAAAAAGAAAGGAAGTTGCAATGAAATTAATTGATAGATGCTTGAGGTTAAATCAGCTAATAAATAGTACCTACAATTTCAATAATTGTAATTAAATTAAAATACAGCTGTTCCAAAAGTGCATCTCCTTGACTCACCTGGCAGATAAATGGGGGATTATTCTTGCCTGCACAGATTCTTGCCCACCTGTGGCGCCTTGGATACTCTCCAGAAGATGTCATTGGCAATATCTTCCGTGTGTGTAAGACCTTTCAAATGCCAGAATATCTGAAACTGGAGTTTATCAAGGTTAGTACTAACTCAGCTCCTGATGGGACCTTTTGAAGAGGATGTGATCGGGGGAAGCCTCAGGGGTTTCCATTTAAAATTTGTTGTATATTAGCACAAAGAAAGTGCTTCTTGACTCATTGTTGCTTTCTTTCCCACTGCACCATTGGTTTGTCAGTGAGAAGTCACTTGAAGTTTAGCATCTCAACATCCACAGAAGTGCCAAAAGTCACTTTAGTGATCAGCTCAAATTAAAAGCAGATGTCATGCTGAATTTATTAGTTATAGCAAAGCCTCAAATAACTCCTTGAAAATGTTTTTCAAGTCCATACTTGATTCTAGTCCAGTAGATAGTAAAATATTAAATTAAATTAACAGAGAGTTGACAAACAGTAAGCTGGTGATCCAGAATCACTCTTCCTATTTGAAACCTATCCTCATATGCAGGCACCTTGTTTCTTATAAAGAAAGTGGGGGAATACAGGCTTTGATTTTAAAAACACGGCATTTTAGTTGTTACATTCTCTGAGGTACGAGTGACTCAAAGCTGGTCTTTTAGCAGTAAGGGATATGTTCTGTTTAGTCATTCATAAAATATACAGACTGGAAGAGTAAACAGAACACTTGACAATGTCTCTGTCACCAGGAAATTGGGTACACTCACATGAAGATAGCAGAAGGTGTGAACTCCCTTTTACAAATGGCTGGGCTGCTGGCCCGGCTGTGCCAGAAGACTGCAGCCCCTGCAGCCAGTTAGGCACCTCCTCAAGCCTGCTGGGAGGAAACCAGGTTTTGCTGCAAAAATGTTTCATACTTTTTTATTTAGACCAATAAAGCTCTAAAATTTACTTTAATCCACGAAATTGTATGTGTTTTATAACCAGAATAGAAAAGAGGACTGTGACAACCCAGAGCAATTAAGGTCTGTCCTTAAGTGTACTCGGCAAAACTGCTTTTGTCCATGGTATTGGGGTCTAAGCAAGAGATACAAAAATGGAAAATGTTGTTAGGGATTATACTTCAAGCCTGGTCATGAGTGATCTTACCAAGATGGAAATTTTTTTGCACAAAATACAGCATTTACTGAAGTTAAAATTGAGGCTTGTCCAGGTTAGGTAATGGCAGTTTTCAGCCTGCCAAATGAGCTGGGGGATGTGCCTGTCCACAGTGGAGGTGCCAGAGGAAAGGTGAGGAATATGGAGAGTCACGGTTCCTGTTCCTACCTGGTTTCAAAGAGTTTCTTCTCAGCTGTATTCCGTAGCTGCATTTCACAGCTCCAGTTTGGAGCAGACTCTCCTCTGGGCTAATCCTTTCTAGCTCTGTGGGGACATAATCACACTCACTTTTCCTAAGAAGAGGACTAGAATTGATCCCAGAGGCCACCAGCACCTCCTGCTCTCCAAAGGCATTTGTTCCCCCTCTGAGTGCAGAGCTGCTGCTCTCCAGCACTTAGCACAGATTCCCCAGCTCCATTTTCAGAGCTGCACCAGCCAGAACCACTTTTCTGAAGCATCTTAAATTGAAAACAGGAAGTGAATTTCTCACTTGACTACCTACCTAATGTGAAGAGAGAGAGGTGGACCCAGGGGAGATGTAAGTCTCCTTGCATTAGGTTCAAACAACACAGTGTCTAGCAATTCTGGTTGAGCACCAGAAATCTTTGCACACCTAAAGCCAGTCCTGAAAGGACAGCAAGTCAGTGAACACACACATCTGTACTCACTACAAGGAAAAAACGTGAGGTGAGCAAGACTAATAACAAACATTGATGGGAGTTCCTGGAACAGTCCCTGGATACTTTCCAGTGTAATGAGATGACTGGCTGAGAAGTGGTCCAGAAGCTTTACAAAGCTAAGGATTTACCCCTCATTACAGCTGGCTGCTCTGGGGAGCTGCAAAGGGGGATTTGCTCAGTAAGTGAAGGGAAGATTCTCCACATTCAGCTCTACCCTGCCTGCTTTGGCTCCACAACTTTCAAACTCAGGCTTTGGCAATGGAGAAACCTTGTACAAGAAAATCTAGCTGGTGTAATCTGCCTCCCTGCTTAGTCAGGAGAGCAGTAAATCTTGTATTTTCATGTTCTGACCATGCACTGACCTAGTGCCTAGAACTTTCTGGGAGGTCTCCAGCTGGAGCTGTTGCTGTGAGCCAAGGATCTGTCACTGCTGCTAATCTCCTAATCATGAATGGCTCCCTTGGTTGGGAGATGAATCACCAGTGGGTAACATCACCAGACATCACTCAGAACGAGCTCACCCTTGCAGTGAGCAATCCCCAGACTGCAGCACTTCGTGGAAAATGGAAGCTTCTTCAGGTGCTGAGGATGAATCCCAACAGTCTCACAGCCCTGTGAGGTACAGGCACAATTCCAGTGACAAAAGCACCCCTTGCCTGCCTGGGAGCCTGTGCAGACGTTTTGCATTTGACCATCAGGAAACCTAAGGGTGTGAGGAGAAACTGGGATGGGGTGAGCAGAAATCCAGGCTGTGGCTCACTGTGTGCATCCCTGAAATGCACTAGATTTTTCTCTGTTGTGGAAGTCCTGTGGAAACTTGTAGCATTTGTAGGAACCACTAGCAAACCTTTTGCTGAGCCAAACTCCAACCCACCCACTGTTTCAGCTGCAGCAACAGGTGGGCACCTGTGGTCTCTCTTGGTGATTCTGCTAAAATTAGAGCCAAGTCATTTGCAGCAGGAAGCACCTGACATCCCTTCTCCCACTCCAAGGTCTCTAACCCTCAGCTCCCCGTCTCTGCTCACTCACCGTGAGTGTGGGCTGTGTTCCTTCCTGAAACACGCTTTTCTGATCTGATTTTGAGAAGGCTTTTAATGCATTTTCTCCCCATAACATCCTGCACGTCGCTCCATGTCACCTCATGTCCTCCCGTTTCTGTCACCTGATCATGCTGACATCTATCATTGCAAACCATAGCTAAACACCTCATTTTCTTTGAAAGATTTCAGTTTTAATAAATAAGTGTTCCAGAAGTGCCAGATCTGTGCATCAGGGCTCAGGAGATAGGGATTCCATTTGTGGGATGATATTCCAACAGCCATATTGAGGGACTGGGGCAGTTTCTGAGGCTGCTGGCTGTAGATCTGACTCTCACAGTTGCTGCTGGTTCTTTGTATCATTATAAAACAGCTACTGAAACACGAGGAAAACTGCCACAGACTAACACTGTGAATTACAAACCATGGATAAGGCAGGCATTTAATCCTCTTTAGCTTCTGTGAACAGGTTGGAATCTCATTCAGCTCCAGACAACCACTGCTGTTATAAACACAACCTCTGCCTTGCCAGTTCCTCTCATGGAGGAAACTGCTTCTATAGGAGAGCACAGGAACTAAATCAGAAGGTAATCCCCATGGTTTAATACCATCGTGCATGAGTCACCCTGACAGATTAAGTAGCTGACTGCATTACTGCTCAGCAAGTTAAGGATTCATTTCATGCCTGACAGGAGAAAATATTGCCCAGAATGGCCACCTTTGAGTGGACATGCAGGGAAATGAGATGGGGATGAGGATCCTGGGGCTTGCCCGTGGTTGCTGGGGGCAGAGTGCTTTTTCTCCAGTTGCTGGTTTGCAGTTGGACTTCTGTGGGGCTTCAAAAAGTGCATTTCTTCCTTTCAGTACCACCCCTTCTACGTCATTGCAGGCACAGTTTGGAGAAAAGGTTTCTCTGAGGGATGGAAGTCTCCCCTCTCCCTGTGTGCATGTTCATTGGGTGCTCTCTTACAGCTCAGCAAGAGTTCTTCAGATTTTGTGCAGAATGCTTGGAATAAGAGGAGAAAAAACAGTGAGTCCACTGGCTTTTAATCCCTGCTTTCAACTTAACTCTGCTGTCTGCTACATTTTCTTTGCAGGGACAAGTAGTGTCAAAATCTACAAAATGTCTGTGTTTAAGCAGAAACCCCAGTCGTGCTCCTGGAGGATGATCCCTGATCAGAGCAGGAGACAAAGAGGCACCAGGAGCCCATTCCTCAATTCAGCCTCCCTTGGTGGAGAACTTCTGCTGGCATTTGTTGGTTGGACATTGAGATTTTAGAATATTACTCTGCGAGCAAAGGCTACAACAGAGGCATCATTCTAATGGCAAAAAGATGGTTGGCAGCAAGATATGGAGGGGTCAGGTTTCTCAGGCCAAGTTTTTCCATGTCCAGCTACATCCAGCAGAAGGAAATGCCACAGTGTGCAGAGTAGGATGGCTGTGCTTTGCATGATGGGGAGAAATCTTATTCTTGGCTTCAGAAAGATCCAATTTGGGGAGTCTGCCCACTGCTGGTGCCTACAGTCTGGGGAATATAAAACCCTATAAAACTAGAGCAGCTGGCATGTGGCATAAGGACAATCCCACTGGGTCTCTGTAGGTGCTCAAGAGAGTGAAAACCCAACAAGGAGAGCAGTACTGGTCCCATCTGGAGATGGACTAGTCCAGTCTGGAGCAGGGTGACCAGCACTAACATCATTCACTGTCCTTCAGTGCCATGCAACCTTCCTGCAGCTCTCTGCAGTGTTTCTACTTTATCTGCCTTGAGTAATTCTTTATCAGCAGCATCAGGTTGGTGCTGATAATGGGGCAGGATATGGGGTCTTAGCAGAGCAGGCAGGGCTCAGCTGAGGGAATCCCTGCTCAGAGCAGGGGGTTCTGGCTGTCCCTGCCCACAGCATGCAGCAGAGCAGTCTCAAGCTGTTCTGGAGTTCCTGTGCCTATTGGAGGAGGGCAGAGCTGGAGCTGGGACATGGACTTGGACTAATTTGTCTCCATGGTCTGTGTGAGTCAGCTTGGCATCAGCCAGAGATGTGGCACTGCACAGGGTGGGCTCCTCACACCCCTCCACTGCCCGTGTGAGCTGCTGTGCTGATGCTGCCAGCAAGGGCAGAGCTCCCTTTGGCATAAACCAAATCCTCCCACCCCTAAATAAACACCATAAACCAAATCCTTACACCCTACAGTAACATACCAACCATTTGCTCTGTTTCTACCTTTGCTGTGACAGCAGGGCATGGCCTGACCCAGGTCCTGCATTGATGTAGTCTGGCTCATCATCCAGGCTTTCTGTCAGCAGAGCTGTGGGTGAGGATGGGAAGCACTTATCAGTGAGTGGGTTGATGTAAAAACACACAGGCCACTGACACACCTCGTGTCCTGCCAATATTTAGCCTTTGGTGCTGACATGTTTTTGTGCCTGGACTAAGAAAACTCAGATCAGTGTCAAGATCTCCTTGAAGAGGCTTCAAAATGATCACAGAAAATTTGCAAACACTCTGGGCAGCTCTTCAGAGCCAAAAAAAGATTTAATCTAGAGAGGTTAATTAGAGAGGGCTCCTGCAAACAGGAATCAGTTTGCTTAGACAACTTTCACACCAGAGACACAAAGCTCTTGAATATTTATGTGTACACTCCCCACTGTCCCCCAGGCCAGAGATACCCTCATGCTTCACAGGAAACCACACATTAAAATAAACTGCATTTAAAAGGTCAGCCCTGACTACAGCAGGAGAGTCAAGGGCTGACCCACTGGGTGTGTGCACAAAGTTCTGTGGCACAGGGGATTAGGCTGTGCTTGCCCTGGGGCCACCTCAAGTGTAAGAGGATGTAAGACCTGAAGAGCAACATTTTTCTGTGGCATCCCATGGTCAGGGTTTAGGCACAACCACCCGAGTGGTGGCCTTTTGAGTGCAACACCACATCCCAACAGAGCAGCCTTCAGTTACAGGAACTGCAGTTTGCACATTGCCTTGGATATTTGACAATTAAGGAAAAAATTAGCTGAAGACAAGGGTGATGGCTGCATTGCCCTTGCTTGGTTTGTACTGGCCTAGTGCACCAGCACTCTGCCCATGAGTCCCATCCCCAAACAGCAAAGAACAGCTGAGAACATGGAACATACCCTGCCCTTGCTGGAGTTTCCACGTGTGTATTGCCACGCTGTTCTCGTAGTCTGCAGCATCATCTGTGACGAGGAAGAGTTTGGACAGGACGGTGCTGAACAGTAAATGGACTAAAAAGGGGCCTTTGTGAAACCCCCTCCTAGCACTGCACCCTGACTGTGCCCTGCACGTGGCTGAGTTTCCAGCCAGCACAGATCTGCTGATGCTGCCTCATCATTTTTCCAGGCCTGGCCGTGTGCCTGGATATCTGCAGGCACGGATGGGGATCAGACAGGTCCCTGCTGCTCTTGCCTCCTCTAATCACTCTGCACAAAGCCAGGCAGGAGCAGGGCAGGCTTTAGCAGTGCAGAAAGCATGTGTGAACTCATAGAAGGAAACCAAACTGACTTCCTATTTTGATTGCAACATCCCAGGACTGATGCTGGAAGCCCTGAAGGGACACTGTGGTTCAGAGTCATCCTCCAGAAGCTTCCTGGCTGCAGCCTTTTTGTGCTGGATTTGGTGAGAAACCTGAGCTAGAGGCTAGAACCATTAATCAGCCTGGCTAAACACTGAAAACCTAGAGATGCAGACCCCAAAGCTCCTGAATTGCTGCAGAAACCACCAAGCCAAAGGCATCGGGGTGGAGGTGTCACCGTGTGCATTTTCCTGCAGAAAGGGGAAATGTTCCAGGCCTGCTCTGTGCGTGCACCAGCCCCACGGCACAGAGCTGGCAGGAAGAGCTGAGCTCTGAGCAAGCAGGTTTCTCCTGGCTAAGCAGGTCACCTTCCTTCTCTGCACTTTGTGTGCCACACAAGAACCATGACAGCAGCACACTCACCTGGATCAGAGCCCTGGGATGCTCCAATGGTGACATTTTCATAGGAATAGGAATCCTCATCCTCATCTTTCTCTGCTGGAGAGAAGAAAGAGAAGTGACAAAGGACCTACAGAAGTGTAAGCGACCTGGCAAGATCCCTCAGCACCTGCAGGAGGGGGCTGTTTCCCACAATGAAATGTAGATTAGCTAAAAAATTGTTAGTCTTTTTGACTGTGGCCTGTGGTGAGCAAGGGGGATGGGGTGTCTGAGTACAGGGGAATGGGTTGGTTATTCCCACAGGAGCACAATCACCAATGGTTTTGGGCTGTCCTGTTTATAGGCAACAGATGGACCGATGGGGCTTGGGCATCCCTCAGATCCCACAGCCTTTAATGGATGTGTCTCCTGGACCCACACTTGCTTCAGGCCGTACACAGTGATGCACAAAGCTCTGCAGGAACTCACGAGCTCCCTGGAGCCCTGGGACAGCCAGGCTGGATGAAGGAACCCACCTTGCTTGCCTGGAGACCTGCCACGGAGTGGATCAAAGAACCTGGGGCAATTGTAGTAGTATCCCAGAGATATGGGCTCCCTGTGTGAAAAGCAGCACTGTCAGCTCCTCCTGCCTGGCACAGACTTCCCAGGCTGAGCTGTGGGAGCACCAGGACAGCACTGGGACCAGTATAGCTCCACTGGACCGTGCTGGTGGCAGCACAGGGTACTCACACATAGGCAGCATCTTCTTGCAGGCAATTCCCTGCAAGAACAAGGGTTTGCTGTCAGCACCCCACCATGGTATCACCCTGAACAGCCATCCCTGGCCACAGCTGGACAAACCCCCCAGCACAGCCACAAAGAGATCCCCAGCAGCCACAAAGCCCTGGCACAGCCCCAAAGCCTGCCCGGAGCAGAGCACACAGCCCTGATCCACCCCTGAGAAAACCCCAGCTCAACACTTCTCCTGGGCACACCCTGCCAGCTGGCAGGGAGATGGGGAATATTCTCCCTGGCTTGGGAAAGGAGAGCACAGCCCCACACACCAATAATCCTCTTAGGGCAAGCACCAGCTCACACTGGCCCAGGGGAGAGCAGGAGGCTGGGGAGCATCCATCCCCCTCCGCTCTGCCCATTAATCAGATCAGTGATTTTGTGTCTTACAAAGCAATCTCTAAATTGACCAAGCCAGAGCTCTGGCAGCTGCAGTGCTGGCTGCCTGTGTGCTCCCTGCCAGCTCCCAGCCCCTCAGCAGCCTTCCTTCCCAAACCCCCAGACACGTGGCTGCAGCATTTACCTGCCAGGAAATTCTGGTACCTGGACTCGTCCCTGCTCCCTGGGGACAAGAGAGGGGCACATCACACACGAGCTCAAGCTGAGTGATGGGAGCAGTTTGATGATACTGGCAAATCACCAGCTCTGAGGTCAGGGGACATCACTGCAAGGTTGGACACTCCAGGGTACAGGAATTGGAACAGCCAGGGCTAATATTTTAAACAATCTGTGGCTCCAACCAGGACTGGTCAGCCACAGCAGGATGAGATTTAAACTCAGACCCAGGATAGACCCAAATTAAGATGGATGTGGAGCTGTTGGAGCAAGTCCAGAGGAGTGCACAAAGATGCTCCAAGGCTGGAGCCCCTCTGCTCTGGGGACAGCCTAGGGTTGTTCATCTCAGAAAAGAGAAGGCTCTGGGGAGACCTTAGAGCCCCTTCTAAAGGGGAGAGGGACTTTGGCCAAGGGCTGGGAGTGGCAGGACAGGAGGGCATGGCTTCCCACTGACAGGACAGGGTTAGGATATTGGGAAGAGATTTTTCCCTGTGAGGGTGGGGAGGTCCTGGCACAGACTGCCCAGAGCAGCTGTGGCTGCCCCATCCCTCAAAGTGTCCAAGACCAGATTGGAAGGGGCTTGGAGAAACCTGGTCTAATGGAAAGTGTCCCTGCCCATGGCAGGGGGATGGAGGGAGATGATCTTTAACAACAACTGCTCTGTGATTCATTTTATCTGCCTGTCCCAGGAAGCTGCTCACCATATCCAGTATGATGGGAAGCACGGAGCTCTTCAGTGACTTTCCTGAAAGAGAGGAAAGAGACCTAAAATCCCAGGTCTGAGCAAACCCTACCAGCAGTTACACACCACCATCCATGATACCTTCCTGTGAGGTTATCAAGCACACACACAGAGCAAGGGGAGATGCAGAATTTGGGGTAAAATCCCAAGACGGGAATAACTGTGCTTGAATATTGCAGCAGAGTTATCATGGCTGTGTAGTTACTGGGGGTTTTGGTGATGGGGAGAAGGGGATTTATCACACCAAATGCTTATAAGTGAATAATGGCCATTTCTTTTCCATGATGAAAAGAATTATGTACATTATGTACAGCCACAGCTCATTTTCCTGGGTTTGATTTAATCAGTTGCCAGAAGAATGCTGTCAGACTGAAGAAAATCCAGAAAAAGTCTAACCCATAAACAAAAGTCTAAACACTTACTGACCATCAGTAAGTGAAGCAGCCTGATCAAGTTGAAGATATCCCTGCTCTTCACCAGGGGAAGGAGCAAGGAGGAGCAGGAGAAAGGTCCCTTGCAAGCCAAACTATTCTTTGATTCTATATACAGCCCAAGCCCCATCTACAGGGCCCAGAATGCAAGCCCAAATGTTCATGTATGTTGAGTGAACTTCATCCAGCCTTGGCTCTAGAGCTAGATTTTTATTTGGGTTTTTTCTTACCTTGCTATTGATAAGTTTTCGGGTTCCTTAATTTTTTCCAGCCTTCGGGTTGCAGCTGGCAACAACAACAGAATTACCATGTTAATTATTATGGCAGCAGCAGATATTTCAAAGAGCACAGAACATCCACCAGAGAGGGATCCCTGGGACTGGCAAGCATTTTTCTTATGCACCCTTAAACAGCTTTCCAAACTGTTCCTTGAAGGTTCAAAAATGGTCAAAACAAGAAACAAGTGGAGAGAAAGCTGGTGTCTGTGCAGACCACAGAGCTGGCAAAGCCTCGCTGGAGGAAGCTGTGATCCCAGCATTGGGATCCATTGGGGGCCATTCCCCTCCCTCCACGCTGCAAAGTGCAGCTGAGAGCTTTGGTGGGGCTGGGGTGAAAGTAGAGGGGTTGAGGGGTTTGGAGCCAGCAGAGGCAGAACCACGGACACATTTCACACCGAGATGGCAGCCCCTCTTTGTGACAGAAAACTCAAAAGTTCAGCGCTGAGCCCAAGCTGCCGCAGGAAGCAGAGAGGGGGGATGATGGATGAGTCACTCCTGTCACCCACACCAATGGGTGGTATCTATCAACCCACCTTGGTTCTCACAGGGTGCACAGCCTGCTTCCAAGAGCCCCCAGTAGTTGAGGCTCCAGTGAGTTATTTTCAATGCAAAGGACATTTTTTCCCTAAAGCTCAGAATTCACATACCTAGAAGTGTCTAAGATGGCTTGGATTGTCCAGCATTGGACGATCCAGGTCTCATCATTTCATGGCCTGGCTTCAGGGTGACCCTTTGAACACTGTTTTCCCCCTGTTCTATGAATGAAGATCCCTCACACCACAAGGCAGGAGCAATACTCACTGGTATGGGATCGAATCACCTCAAATCTCCGCTGGCTTTCGAGCCTGGAAAAAATAGCAGTGCAAGTTCAGCTGAATTTTGGGGTGTATGACAAGGAAAAGAGATACAAGAGACCTGACTGGTGAGTGGAGGGCAGAGGACACCATGCTGGGCTCAGTGAGATGCCAGCTGCATGCATGACATGGGAGCATCTTCCTGGAGTCTTCTTTGAGCCTTTAAAGACAGGATTTAGTTTTGGACCACTGGTAGAGCAGCCAACATCAGCGAGGGAAGGATCCAGGCGTGAGGAAAACATCATTTAGGATAATTCCCATTCTGATGCTTCATCTACCAAAGGCCACAAGAAATTTTTACCCACAAAAAGCTGGATGTTATGCATGAAATGACTTTAAACCCCACTGTTTCACCTCCACTGCTGCCTCTCCCATCATCCCTTAACATCAACATGAATAAAGTAACGTTATCAGTGATAACCTATGCCCAGTAACCTCTTTACTTTTTAGTTAATAGGAGAGCTGCTTTTCAGAGCATGAGAGAATTCAACAAGTTTTCTGCTGCAGGTGTTTCTACACAGGTACTCATTCATTCTACACAGGTATTCATTCCTTTCTCCCTTTTTCCTTGGGGTTTCCATATGAGCTGGGATTCATGGCCCAGGGCTGCTGGGGGAGCTGTCAAAACCCCAAACATACAGTCAAACCACTTTGCCTGCAAGACACCCAAACCACACCTCTAAAAAGAGCACACAACCCCACAAACCTGATCCCAAACCACCTAATCCAGGTATAAATTTCAAGAATTTGGGACAATTCAGCATGAGTCAGTGAGGTGTGGAGCCTGTGGAGGACGGAGCCTTCAGTGGCTGCTCCATCAGTCTACAATAGATCCCTCCAGAGCCTTTCCCCAGAGAAACAAAAACCCCAACCCCTTGGAGGCCTTTGCAGAGCCCCATTGCTCCTGTAACAAAGCTTACAACCCAACTTTTCTTTTTTTTTGACATCATTTACTGTGGTTTGTGTGTTGCTGAGGGAAATAAGGGGCAGTGTGTGTGTGTGTACGCCACATTTCCTTCATTTCTTGTGCTGCAGGTCCGTGGTTGCTCTGGTTCAGGGTCCAACCAGCACCAGCCAAGGGCAGGGGCTCCTTTGTGAAGTAAATAACCTTTCTATCTCAGGGCACAGCAGAACAGGGTAAGAACTTGCCCTTCTCTCCCAGACCTTTTCCAGCTAGTTAATGATTCAATGACCGCACAGTCAGAGCTTCAGTTTCGTTTTGGATTATTCAGTGTAAAGGCACTGCCCCTTCAGCAGCACCTGGGGCCTTGCAGCCCATCCTGGTGTTATTTTATTTTTTATAAACCTAGATTTCAGCTTGGGTCTGGCTCTGGGGCTCACCCTGGGTGAGTCTGGGGGAGAAACACAATTGGGAAAGGAAACTTACTGGCTCCTCAGCTCATTCAGCTCTGTCTCCCGTTTGGTAGCTGGAAGACAAGGGAACAAAAAGCTCTTAGAAAGGTTGATTTAGGAGTTAGAGATCAGAAAGGCAAATAAAATACATTTACAAAACTTCTTCAGCAGGTCAGGACAGCGGAGCAGCAGTTGCAGTGGGGTTTTGATGAAATTTTTTGAAACTATGTTTAAATTGTGGTTTTTGTCTCAAACCCCACAAAGCAAAGCAGGCAGTCGTGCCCCCAAACCCCAAACTGCAGCTTCTCCCCTCTTAAAACCCACCCAATGCTCAGGGATGGGCTCAAACCCCACTGGGTGCTCACCCTATTTCTGTATGAATTTATCCTCCAGACTCCCCTTCCCTGGCTGCCCTTCTGTTCCAGACCCTCTGCAGGTCCTGGGGGGTCCCAAAGCCACCCACCACAGTGGCCATGGAGAGGGATCTGCAGCTCACAGTGCCCGAGGAAAGGGGCTCCTTCCCTCCCTTTGGGGCTCCTTTGTTCCTTTGGGTGTTCATTCCCTCCCTTTGGATCTCCTTCTCTCCCTTTGGATCTCCTTCCCTCCCTCCCAGCTCTCCAGCACAGCCTCTTCCCTGCTCCAGCTGCATCCCCACAAGGTCAGAGCTGGTACCTGGCAGATCCAAACCCACATGGAAGGCACATTCCAAGAGGACAGCTCAGGACTCACCTGAGAGCCGGCACCTGATGCAGAGGCTGACGGCCGCCCCGAGCATCATCAGCGCCGCAGCCGCCCACAGCTCCAGCTGCACCATGGCCCAACCACATCCAGCCTGAAACACACGGTGAGGGGACCCCATCAGCTCTGGGCCATCCCTCAGGGAGCTTTTACCCCCAAAAACCAGCTGCTGTTTGCCCTCACACCCCCACGGGAGGCTGCAGAGGATGCAGAAGGGACTTTGGGGTTGCGATGCCCTTTCCTGCACCGCTCTGAATTCCTCATTCCCACCCCCCAAACCCACCCTGCTGCCACCAAACAGTAAATTTTTAATACCTAGAAGAGAGGGCAAAAGGGAGGCACTCAGCAAGATTTAAACAGTCAGGACCTTTGCACAGCATGCTCTGGCTCTTTCCTGCAGCTCAGAGTGACTTCCAGTGTTAAATTCCCCACACCTTTTTCTGCACTGAGCTGGCTCAGCCACTGGCTCTTCCCCTCCTTTCCCTGACAGGCTTTTGCACAACCAGCAGCTAACATTTTTTAACAATCAGCACAATTTGGCTTCAACTTCTTCCTTTAAAATACAAAACATCCTACAAATATCACAGAAAGCAGCCTGCTGGCACTGAGATGGATCATTTAGCCCATTCCTATTCCCCAGGGCCGGATTTTCTTTAGTTACAGATTATTTTAATTTCTTTTTGTTTTTAATAAACTTTCTTTTTTTTCCCCCTAGGGATGGAGACACTGCAATGTGCCAAAGGCCAGTACATCATTGCTCTGGCTGGCAGGAACCTTTCCTACTGCCTTCCTTCAACCTCTCTTGTTACAACTTCAGCCTGTATTATATTGGTGAGTGGAGGAGGAAAGGCATATTATAGCAGTTGATAATTAAAACAATTCAAAATAATGAAACAAATGCCAGTAGCAGACAATAGAAAGCAGCTGCTTGATTCTGCCCTGCTCAGCACCTTCTCCCTCTGCTTGATTAAAGTGGAATTAACAACATTTCTCTGCCCAAACTCCGCAGAAGTTTGGAAGTTGCTCTGACAGCTGAGTTCAGGTGGGAGAAAACCCAAAGCCTCCCATGGCAGAGTCTGTGGGGGCTGAGCAACATCCTCCTGTCCCTGCCAGGCACTTGGAACAGCAGCTGAGCATGTTGGTGAGAGGTTCATGGTCCAGTTTGTCATTGAAGTCTCAGTCCTGTGCCACAGTCCTAATTATCAGGGCATGGTGAAAATAATCATGGAGTAAATCAGCACGGGGCAGGGAAAGGAGGGAAGTCCCTCATTTCCACTCAGACAGGCCTTGAGCAAAGCCAGGAGCAATGGCTGAAGGGGTTTGGTGTCAGCATCTCTCAGTGGTTGCCAAACACCATTTGGCTGTTCAGAAATTATCACAGTGAGGCTTTGAGACCACCCTTTGCTTGAGAACAAACTGGGCTTATTCCTATTATGTTCCAGCTTCCCTGGGCTCTCCAGGACCTGGCAGCTACCAGCACTTGCTCCACCATGGCTTTGCCTTCTAGAGGCCCCCAGGGGCCTCTCTTTCCCTGCACAGTTTTTTGCAGCACTTTCTGAAGATGAATAATTCTAAATTTAAGTGCCCAGACATCCAGGCACCCACCCTAGAGGTGCAGGACCAGAACCCAAAAGAGCCTCATCAAAACCATGTGGTTTCTGCCATCACTTTTCCTTTGCTCAGCATCCCCCATGGAAATCATGAGCTGTGGATCATCTGTGAAGCATCTCCAAGAGGCAGCTGAGGGAAGCTGGTCCAATGCTGGTGACCAAAATACAGAGGGCTGCAATTCTGCTGCTTTGTTTGTGGGTTTCCTGGCTTTCTTTCTTTCTTTTTCTTTTTTTTTCCTTTGAAGTGAAGGCAAGGCAGAGCTGAAGGCACCTGACAACACTGACCTAGTTTGTCCCATTGCATGGCAGGCTCCTTCTCCTTTCCAGAGCCAGTTTTATTTTGGTCACGGGCAGTGAGGCAGCACAACCTCTCTGCTCCTGAGCCCCCACTCACCAGGGACACAAAAAGAGGTTATTTGAAGGGCTGATGAACAGGATGTGCTGTGTCCCACCCCATGACAGCCTTATGCTCAAAGAAAGCCCCCAAGTCACACACACACCTTTAGCCCAGAGATCATTTGTGCTTCCCCAAATCCTCTCTTCTGGTACGAGCCCTGCTCCGGTAAGGAGCTGACAGAAGGAGGTGATGAACAGATTTATGACAAGCAGAAGGCTGGAAGCACTTACTCACGGCTAGCAGGATATAAATAAAATATTTGGAAGGCTGAATGTGCTTCCCTGCACTCTACCTTGGAGAGGAGAACAAATCCTGCACAGGAGGACGTGTGGAGTTCATGGCTGGCCAGCCCTGCCTCCAGGATAAACCCAAACTCGGGCAGAAAACATCTTCCCACCCATTTCAGGAGTGACACTCGGATTGTGTCACAATGCCCTGTTCTGTTCACACATTTCTCTCTTCTCCTTTTGCCTGTTTTTCCCCTTTTTGTGCAGAGGAAGCCGCTGGGACCAGGGCACACCCCGAGCACCGTGATCCCACAAATCCCTCAGGAGCAGCTGCTCCAGACAAGCAATTCCTGGGAGAGCAGCACACTGGAGTCTGGATACAGCTGTGGTCTCCTTCAGAGGGGGAAGTTCATCTTCTAAAACAGGGCCTGCTCCTTCTCTGGCCTCAAATAGATTCCTTTTTAGCAATCAAGGAGACAGGCTTTTTCTTACTAAAAAAAAATTAATGAACTTGCAAAAGCTTATCTACTCTGTGCCAGGTCTTGTCCTAATTTATGGATTCACCCCAGTAACAAGGCTCTCTGTGAAGATCTGAAGGAAGGAGAGATGGTTTTATCCTGGAAGATTAAAAGGTCTGCTCTTAATTCCACTGAAATGGAGAGTAGGACGACATGGACACTCACTGTCCATCTGTCCAAGAGCAGCACAACAAAGTGAGGAAACCTTTTGAATTGAAATAAGGCAATTCTGGCTTATAAAATCAGTGGATATAAGCTGGATATGCACAGGCTAGAAATAAAATTCCTAATGGATGGAAAGTCTGGAATAATTTCCCAAAAGCAGAAGAAGAGGCACAAAGCTCATGAGAAAAAAACCTGCAAGAGCTCTTAAAGTGAACTTTAGCTTTTTGCTGAGACACGAGGAGAGTGAGGAATGTGTTGATGTGGCCTCAGCAATGCCTGGTTTTCCATGAGGTCATTTCTGATGAAGACATTTTAGCCCTTTGCAGACATCAAATCCACCCCTGAGTTCACACTGCAAGATAAAGACTAAAATCATGCATTTATATTATGCATTCTATCTATCAATCAAAAAAAAATGCCCAAAAGGCAAATATAAACCATTCACTTTCTCTCCCCTCCAGAAAGTTTTGTGGTCTGCACCAGTTTGCTGTAAATTAATTCTAATTAAGGCTGGTAGGATGAGTCACTGGTATGAAATATGAAGTGGAAAGTGTATTTAAAGACTCACCATATGAAATTCAGCACACTGACTTGTTGAACAGATGCAATATTCAGCTTGAGTCAATGTCTCTAACACGGCTAAGAAAAGCAACTCCACTTTCTGTTTGCCTGTGTGGCACAGATTGCCACAGAAATTCCCATCAATTCAGAAATTAAAGTCTCAGACCAAGGAAGCTCCTGTGGCTGGAATGACTTTGATGACCAGCACTGAGCCTTCAGAAAAGCTCCTTCCCAGAGGTCTGCACATCTCATTTCCTACCAGATTTATGCCAGTGTCAGGCTTCTCAGGAAAGCTGCTGCCATTGAGTTAAAATCTGGGTTTTTTACAGCTATTCAGGCAGACCAGGCTTTTATGCCAATAGAAGCATTTCAGTAGAACAGATGATGAAAGGGGAAGATTAGAATTGATAAACCAACTTTCACATAGATTATAACTCTGGAAAATGCTTTTAAAAAAAATCCTGGGTGGAAAATATGGTGCAAAACCCCAGTCACAACAGGCATGGCAGCACAAGGAGGTGACTCACAGACGTATCTTGTATTTAGAACTTCCCTGTTTTGGGCAGCACTGAAGCTTCACAGCCTCATTCACTTCCACTGGGAGCCCAGGGGATGCCATGTTAGCAATACAGGCAACCCCTGTGTAAATACAGGCTCCAGAACCACGAAAATGAGCCAATCTCATGCAAGATTCTCCAAAAATTATCCTCTTCTGCTAAATTACCTGCCTCGTTGCCCATAGTACACTGAACATTGCTCACACGAGAGAAAACTGTTGCAAAACCAAATCTCTCTCTAACTAGAATTAGCTATTTCAGGCACTTAGATGCAGTAAAATAAATACATTCACATCCATGATGCCAGTCAGCTCTGCCATCAATGGAAAACCCAGGAAGTGTCGTTTCAATCAGCTATTTTTAAGGACTGGGCTTTGGAGGGGGAGCAGCGTGGGCTGCAGCAGTCCCAGGAGCTACAGCAGGAGCCAGAAGGACCATGCAGGGATGGGGGAAGCTCAGCACAGATGGAATCTTCCAGAATATTTTAGAAGATGTGAATGCAGAAATAATGTAATGAAACCCACGCTTCCAGCAGCAGATGGACGAGGAGATGGAAAGGACAGTGGTGTAAAACAGAGGATCCAGGCTGTGTGGGATGGACCCATCTCAGGCCCAGAGGGGTCTAAAGGCCCCTGAGAAGAGAGGGTTGGTAATTCCTACCTTGGAGCTGGTGATGGGCAGGAGCAGCAGGGAGGAGGGAACATCCACCAATGTCGCTTTTCAGAGAGGTTTTACAGGGGTGACCTTGAACTTCTTTAAAGGATCACCAACCCTGGGGGTCTCTGAGCTCAGTGGGACACCCCGGTGTCCCCCCAGGAGCCCCAAGAACCTCTGGGCTCTTTCCTGTCCCCATCCCTCCCTCCCTCACCCGCCTTACCCACAGCCTCAGCCGCTCTCCCTAACGTGTCCCAGCTCCTCCAGCACCTCTGGGCTGCAGCTGCCGGGGCTGGACCGGTTCCTCCAGGGCTTGTGAGCAGTTGCTGGTTTCCTGTCCCCTGTGAATCACCAACCCCAACATCCGCTGCCCAGCCTCTGCTGCTCCCCCAGGGGCGCCGCCTGCACAAACCCACTCGGGTCACTTTGGCTCCCGTGGGGAGAGGAAGAGGCTTGGACAGTGTGGAACCACACACAGCACCCAGGGCCCTTCCCTCGAGGTTCAGATGGTGTTGGTGCCCCCCAAAAATGTTCAGGCTTCCTTTTAGCAAAGAGCCTTCAAGTGAACAACTGGGCATCCGGGAAAATCTCAAAGCAGGCACAGCAAACTGCAAACCCGCTCTCAGATTTTATGGAAAAGATGATAACAAGTTTCCAAAGCAGCAAATAACCCGAGGTCACTATTGCTAATGGTCAAACCTGGAGCTCCTGTCCAGTGCTGGAAGAATAAAACCAGTTCTTATGCTTCAGCATTGGCATTTTGCACCCAGCAGGCACAAAATTTCACTGCACTCTTAAAAAAAAGTAAATCCTCAAATGTTTTGGTGCTTGAATGGAATAAGGAGGGTTCATGAATTCCCTGCTGGGAATTTATGTATTGGCTTTAAGCCCTGTCACAGTCCATGAAAGAAGGATCCTGCTCCAGCACTCGGGAAGTCTGCACACACACATAAACGTGTACACGGGGCACACGAGTTACAACCATAAACAAAACGTTTCATGCTGCTCTCACCAAGTCTCTTCAAAGCCTCTCTTTTATGTAAATTGTTCAGTAAAGGGAAATTTCGTTATATTTAAATTAGGGCACTCCGGAGCTGCCACAACCAGCCACCTACACCCAGCTCTCTGTGCAAGAACATGACTCTTCATCATAAAAATGATTTAAGGAGCCAACTGGTTACAATTTCTGCAACTCTGGGATGAAATCTGACTGTTGAGATTTCAGAGGAAATGTTACTTCAATAAGATAATTATCCAGTGTATGTGTAAATAGACTTTATCTCTTCCAATGCTAACCTGACATACAAAAATAATTCACCTTCCAGAGCCATTCCCAGACAAGATCTGGGTGCTGAAGCCTATCTTGAAATCAGTATAATCTGAACCAAGGATAAAAAGAGGCAGATTCAACTTTTAATTCCTCACATGGTTTCTCTGTGTTCTCTGTGTAAAGGACATTGCAAAAGGTGAAATGTTTTTTTCACTGCCAAAAGAGCTGTTAAAAAATCGGCATTTCTTAGGGATCAAATAGTTTATTAACAGCTTTCTAGCAGGGTTTGTATGTGTTCAAACATAAGCTGACAACAAAAGAGCTCTTCAGAGCCCAACTGACACTCAAAATATGCTGGAGACATTTAAAGTTCATCTTTTGTACCCAAAATCGATTTGATCAGGAGCAGCCACTGCTAAAAAGGCACCACGCATTTGCCTACGGATTTTCTGGTGGGTCTCAGCTTCAAGTATGAGTCAGTGCTGTGGTGTTACCCTGGCTGGCTCGGGCTGCACCTCCTGTCAGTCCCAAACTGTCCCCTGATGGATCCCTGAGCCTCTCCAGAGCAGGCAGAGGCTGCTCCTGTGCCCAAGGAGCGATCCCAATGTGATATTACAGCTCTTGGGCACAGTGATGCCCCTCAAAGGCCTCAGTCCTCTGCAGAGACCAAGCACCTTGATTAGAGGGTAATTACTGCAGCAGCACATGCCTCTGTGTGGATCTTAACTCCTTTCTTCACATTTCTCCTAAAAAGGGCTGGATGTAAATGTTGAGGATGAGTCCTCACTCCGAGCACTTCCCAGCACAGCTACAGGTTCTGCTCTGCATGAAGCCAGAACAACTCTCCTCCAACTCACACAAAATGACCCCTGAAGCACCAAACCCAGGCTCTACCCTCCTGAAACCCCTCTGCCTCATCGAGACCTGCTGATAGAAACAATTTCTGATTTGACAAAAGGTCAAATACACTGGAGCAGCCACTTTTTCACCTTTTGATAAAAAGCTGATAAGCTGCAGAGAGATCTCTTGGGTCCAGAAAATTCATTACAACCCATTTTCCACCCAGCTCAGCTTACCTGGGTCCTGGGAAGCCAAATGCCCTAAGGGCTGAGTTCCATTCTTTCAAATAAAGGTGGGGGCTGCTCAAAGACCAGCTGATTTTGCTTAAATCAGGTGTTGTGACTAACATTGATCAAAAATCAGCAGTGAAACAAGGACTGAAAAACAGGGCATCATCTAAACCCCTTCTTCTGCACCAACACTCCCAATGCTGGAAAGTTTGAGAAAGCTCCAACAAGTTTTCCAAGCTGCAACAGGCTCCAAAGTCACCAGCTTTGCAAGTCAAGCATTGCTGTGCACCAGCATCAAGCCCCTCTTGCTTTGGGACAGAATGAGCACGTGTCTCATCCCAACCACTAACTGGGATTATAACGCACTCCAACATTTTCACGGCAGCTCTAACGCAAGCCACATCTTGGAGGAAACTTTCTGATGTGCTGAAGTAGTGCTGGATGTTTTTGTACACACCTAGAAACTGTTCTCTCTGTAGTGGGATGTGTCTTTCCCCAGGCAAAGGGGAAGTGCTGCCTCACCCCCTGTCCCAGCTGCATGTTGGCTCTCTCTGAGCTGAAACTGAAAGTGGTTCCTGCTGAAGGAAAATAAATGCTGCTAGAAAAGTCACCTCACAGCCAGGATCCCTGGGTGCTTCACAAAACTTTGCAAAGACTAATCCCAAACATCCCTGTGGTACAAAGCTTCCCTTTCTTATCCTGCCGAGTTCATCCTTGTGGACACAATAATTCTTAAATTTGAAGACAAAAACCTAGAAGGTTTGAATGCTTTTATTTGAATTTTTATACAGCGATACAAATTATACAGATTCGTTACAGTACAGATTTTGCAGGGGTTTATAGAGGTACTTTGTGAGTTTTTGGTTTATTTAAAAGAAAGAGGCAGATCTCGGGAGCACGGTGACATGAACAAAACAATCTTGTGGTAGGAAGCAAATCCTGACCACAGGGAACACTAACCTGGCTGAAACCTACTGGGCAGAAAGGAGGTGGTAGCATTCCCAGCAATAACATCCCAAAAACATCAACCCTGGGATACTCTAGAGCTTTACACAGGAATTGGTGAGCACACAGGTAAGAGGGTTGTTCCTGTAACAGCGCTGAAAGTCCTCGAAGCCCTTGGATGTACTTTGCTGCAGAGGGGACAGAAATGAGGGAAGCTGATGTCACACCCAACCTGCTGTCGAGCAGGTGATGGCACGGAACAGAATCGCTGCCACGATGGAAAAGGAAACCAGAAAATGCTTTCGATTTAGCCACTCAAACAGGTACAGTAAGATGAGGAACACGATTTCAGACCCAATAACGCTGATGCCACGTGCCCACCGAGACACCACATGTGCCACCAGAACCTAATGGCTCGTGTCTTGTGTCCAGCTCGGGTTCCTGTGAGCAGACACAGGAGAACTGCAGAGCTTCCCTGCAGGCCCTCATGCACAAGAGAGGGGCTGAACACGTAATGTCATCAAGGTATTGCTATTACTAATGTGCATCAGGCTTGAGAGTCAAGTGTCTGGCACTGAAGGATTAAAGCCTTTCAGCAAGCAGGGTCAAAAATATGATTATACCATCCTAAATGCTTCTATTCAGTTTGGTTTAATACTGCTACAGCAAGTGCTATCACAAACAACAGAATAAATTACAGATTATATAAATAAAATGTATGCACCAAATAAAATACGTGTCTCTGCCACTTTTAATATATTTCATTCCTGCAGTGGGTAAGTGGCATTTAAGAGGAGGGAGTCAACTACCAGACAAGCAAATTCCACTCTCAGCTGGAAATCAAATTCTTTTTCAGTCACAGAAACTCCCCTTTCTAAAAAATTAAGACAAGCAACACCAACTAAATTGCATCCTGGGAATCCATCCCAGGGAAGCCCTTGAGAAGTACAAAGATTTCTGATTCTACATGAGAATAGCTGGAATAGGTGAGAGGTCCCTTTCCTCCAGAGCCTTTCCACTCCACTGGCAGTGAAACACAGAAACCATCAGAATGTAAAACATAAACTTAACAGAGATTTCAAGATGCTCAATGCTCCTCGCCTGTGCTCTTGCTGTGAGTGCAAATAACCACGGGACAGCTTCAGTGCACACAGAGGGAATGGGGCTGGTACAAAAACCTGGGACTAAGCCTTGGAGCCAACCTGACACACAGAGCCTGTGTCCAAAACACACCCAGGGGAGCAGGGGCTTCCAGCAAAGTCACTCCAAGCAGATTTGTCCAAAGCAGGCAGCAGGACAAGGGCTGCTCTGCAAGCTGCAGAACTCTGCTTGAAGAGGTTGCACGTACACTCCAAAACTTGCTGGCTTTATATTAAATCTTTCCTGCAAAGAGGAAGGGTTGCAATATTATAGGGTTTGCTCTAAAATTCTTACAATTTTATCATTTTTCCTGAAGACAAGTCAGCAGCCAGTACTACAGGTAGCAAATGCTCCTACTAGATTATGTACTAAAGTCAGGACTGAAACTATAACAATATTCATAACTTAAAAATATCAGTATCATCCAAAACTGCCCAGGGACAGCAAGCTTGGCCACAACCATCATCAGCCCTGGAACACCTGTAGAACTTCACAAGTTCACAGTCAGCACTGGAGACTCTGAGTAGTGGCAGCACGTCTCAGCAGCTGAACAAACTGCTGCTGCTTTAGGAAGGCCAGGAAGCCACACTCGAGGGCATGAATTTAATGTGTCTCTACCATCACCAGCCTGTTATTTGAGTGTGTGAACACTCCTCCACCTTTCTTCAGCCAGCAGAACAACCTTGATGGCCGCAGGCACAAAGAGCCCCCTCAGAAATCACTGCAGGATTGCACAGCCCAGGAGTCACAACACACCAGTGCCAGCACTGGGTGCTGCCCTGAGGGCTGGGATGAGCTCTCCCAAGGGCATTCCTGGAATCAGGAGTTCAGTGGGGATTATTTTTTGGTGGCTGACAGCAGAGTTTTGCAGCTCATTAAATGCCACTGTCCAACAGCTCTTCCAGACTCCCACCTTCCCCACTTGCAATTAAACTGGTGTAACATGGCAAAGCACTTCCTACAGCAGCAAAGCAAACTCGGTTCCAGTTCCAAAACCTGCCTGGTGCCTTCCTGCCTTCAGTTTTGTTTATTTGTCTAAGTTTTAAGCTGGAAAAAAGCACTGCACAGCTACCAGAAATAATTCAGTGAGAACATGAATAGCCACAAAGTGAATGATCCATTTACTACACTGCTGCTACCTCCTCAGTCTGGGCTTTGCCATGCCAGGCTTAGCTTTAAGCAGCAGGTAAAGTAAAGCATCACAGGTTAAACCTCAACTGCTTTTCCTGCTAGGATGGCAAGAAAATAATCTTGCTTCCTCCTACAAAACTTAAATGTCACATCCATATATTAAATATAGTTAACTGCTGATAAAAGTTGGTTTGATAAGCTTCTGTATAGGAAAATGTTCATCCACTTAATTTTTGAAGGAGAGAAAGAAAAAGGACTGGAGGAGTCTGACCCTGAGCCACATGGGAAGCACAGAGTGGAATGCTCCAAAGAAACCAGGCAATGCATGAATGCTTGCATATGAAAAATTACTAAAAACAAAACAAAACAAGACACAATGATTTTGGGATCAGGCTGCATTCACTAGTGGGAAACTCTTAACCAAACCAGTATTAGCAGATACAGAAAAAGAGATCTAGAACTAAGATGACCCATTTGCCACCTCTCTCACTCCTCAGGGCTCCTTTCCTCCATGCAGTGATGAAATCCCTGCTTCCAGCAGCACCAGTTTGACAGAGCAGCTGTGGATAAGCGTGGCAAGAGCTGCAGGGGACCAAGTCTCCACCAGCTCTGCTCTTCCACACTCCTGAGGTTGACAGGCAGGACAGCCAGGTGCTCACACACAGCTCCAGTGCAGGACTGGGACTGCTCAAGCCACGGTAAGAGCAGCTCTAAAGAGGGTGGACTGAGGAGCTGGAAGCAGGAACACTTCCCACCCTTTCAGGCTATGGAAAGCAGTAAAACCAGCAGGGAGGTCAGAGCTCATTTCCTCAATAAAAACATGGCTCTACCTCTTTCAACTTTAAAGCTTTCACACTTCAAAGCCACAGGGCAGCAGCCTCCTTAACCATTCTGCCTAATGGGAAAGGGCTCAGTTTGGAAGAGTTTGGAGCAAGTTGGCAAAACAGCAGCAGTTGAGCCATTTACTGTCTCAGCACCCACACTGGAAGGACAAATCCTGCCCACTGCCAGCCACAGGGCAGCAGCAGCAGCAGCACCCATCTGGAGGAGCACAGCCTGATCAGCTGCAAGAATTCCAAATCCCACCTGGCAGCTTTAGAAATGCACTCAAGTGACACTGAAGTCACACTGGACAAAGAAGCTGGGCTCATTTCCATCCATAATTAATTTTTACTTCACTGTTCCAGCACTCTTTAGATCAGATTCCTCCCCTCTATCTTTTCCTCTTCCCCCCTTATTTTGTATCAGAATGGCTCTAGGACAAATTAACACAATATCTGAAAACTGAAGGGGGGAAAAACATGGTAGAGTAGACTCAAATAAAGACCAATGTTAAATATTACTTAATGTTTTCTTTTATTTAAAAGATCATTCACAAAATACCATATCCATAAATTTATTTTGTTATGAAGCAGAATGTGCTAAGTGTTTGGAATTCTTTTCTTTTTTTTTTTTCCTTTGTTTTTACATTTAAAAGTCAACTGTCTTGACTAGAAGTGAGTTTTTGTATGGGAATTTGTTCTTAAAATCTTTTCCACATTGAAGATGTAAATAGATCAATTATTGGTTTGGAATACAACCACACAAATGCATGTCTGTCTTAAATTAAGTATTAGTGTTAGACAAATGGTTCTTATCTCAGAAGCAGATTAAGTGAAAGGCAGAAAGAAGGAAAGAGTAGTTCTGTAAATTGCTGGGACTCTGACTTACAATGGGAACTTTAGGGAAGAAATTCATCATTAGCAGTGGTGCTGGTAGTGGGGCAGCCGTGCTTCCAACCTCCTCTTGTAAGTACTCTGGGGTGCTGGCTGGTTTATCTGAAGGCTCACAGCACTGGCAATATGGGCCCAAGCTTTTCCCATACACTGGACATGTCCAAACTTCAGTGTGGTAGAACCAGGTTTTGGTTTTAAACATTAACAATTTCTCCTTTTGCTTCAGCCTCCCCTCCCTCCTCCCACAGAACACTGACAGGAAACATTTCAAGTGAAGAGAGGTGTAGTAACAAGAGATGCTTTTTACCCAAACTTCTAAATGAGAATCTATAGCAGAAAGATTTCTAATATGCCCATTTTCAAGGTATTCTAAAAGCTGAGGTCCTAAAACTGTACCCCATCGGGCAAAGAAATACAGGGGATAGTGACGATCAAATACTGCATGGCAAAGTATACACTCCTTCAACAAAAATAAAAAAGTCAATTTTATTTGTAGAAACTTCATTTAAAAATTTACCAAACATGTAAAACCCAAAAAAGTAAGCAGAAAGAGCCAGTGAGCAATTGTGCTCAAACAGGCATGGCTTTGCAGCACTAACCTTGAGCTCAGAGTTGTAGTAGCATCATACCATTTGGAAGTCAAGAGCCAGCAGGAAAAGGCTGCTGGCAGAGGCTTTATCCACACTGATTCCACCAGCTATTCACTAGGCTTGTCAGGCAAGGCATCCATTAAACTGATCCTTCCTGGCAACCCATGTGAAAGAGCAGCTGCCCCTCAGTTTAATAAGGGGCTCTGCTGTGAACAGTGACTATCACCAATTGTCATGAATGGTATTTCACTACTTGGTTAGAACTGTAAATTTCTGTTCAACTCATCTGGACTCTTCAGTTTTCCTCTTCAGAGCCACAGCAATACAGAACGAGACATGCAAGTCAGAAGAGGAACACTGAGGAAGTAAAAGGAAACAATACAGGGAAATAACTAAGTCTAACCTGTGCTTCTAAAGTAAAACAAACCCAGAAAGGAAGAAGTGAAGCAGCACCTTTGTCCAGAGACCTCCACACTTGTGGAAGCAGCCACACTGCCTTATCTACTGGCAACTGTGCTGCTTGGAAGGAAACAGAAGAGGGAAACTCAGCACAAAGCAGGCACTAGATACAGCAAAGCCAAGAACGTACTAAAAACCACTTGTTAACAGCTGACATGCATTCACAAGCTCTGTGTTTTCGGTTTCAAAGAGGACAAATACCAGATGGCAGGAATGGTAAACTGCAGGGTTGACATTCCAGCAGAGCTAGTCACTCTGTACTGTCTTGCTTTTTCTCCCGCCTCCCCATTCCCTCTCAACCCCAAACTCAGTCGTGTTCTTTTACTACTTCCTCCCGGGGCTTGGCTCCTCCAAAGATCGCAGAGTTTGGATTGGCTACTTGATTGAGGGGAGTATCGACTGTTCGAGGTTTGAGCTGGAGTCGGGGTCGCTGTGCTCTTTCCTCTGAAAGGAAAAACATTCCACTTGTGAGATCTGCCTGTGAAGGGCGGGAGCTTTAACCTGACAACGAAACCAGGAGCCTCCTTTGCGGAGGAAGACCAAATCACACACAGTAGGAGTTTACCTTCTGTTGGCTCTCTAAAGTCCATGGAAGACCCACGAAGGGGAGGCCCATCTCTGAAGCGACCGGTGCCACCACTTCCCATGGAGGCACCTGGTGGTCGCCGGTCTCCAGGGCGGGTTCCTCTACCCCGACCTCCCAAGAAGTCATCATCTTTGAATCCTGAAGATGGAAGACAGTGAATTTAAAGAGCATCTTTTGCAATGTTTTCAATCTAGACATATCTGGATGACTGGAAAACCTTGCTAGTCAACGCTGTCAGTCCAAGGTGATGCACTGAGAGCCTTTGCAGACAGATTGTTTCACAGAGCTCTAGCACCTCCTGGAGGAGTTGTTCGGGTTCCATTTGAAACCAAGCACATTATGCCAACTTCAGAAAGTGCTTTATCCACTTAGAGGCTTACTGGAGTGCTGGAGAGTGGGTCAAGAGAGTTTAAAATGTGAACCTTGGCTGCAACTTCAGTTTGCTAACATCATTAGCTGACTTGAGAGAAAACACTGCGAGTACTCAGAGTACTTCCACAGCCAGATCATCACACTGGCTACAGCCTCAGCATGAAATCTGCAGGAGCAGAGCAAATGGGAAAATAGCTGGGGAGTACTGAAATAAACTTATGAAACAGAGTAAAACCCCAGGCCTGTTTAGCTGTACTATAAACTAACCAGGCATTTACTAAACCAATTAAAGGACTGGGGAAAAAGCCAAATCAGACTTAAAAGCGATTGCATTTCTTCAGTTTATGTATCACCAAAAAAAGTAAATCAAGAACTATCAGTCACTGACCAGAGTTCCAGTCTGTGCCAGTGACTATCCTTGAGTATCCCTCCAAGCCCCCACTGCCTGTGTTTCAGTGGGAGGAGGATACTTCAGGCTATCAGCATACAGAAAGGGAATACACTCAGATTTTCAGAAGCTGCCTGGAAGAGAATGTTGTTTGTTTCTCAACTGAGATTTTACTTTTCATTTCTGTATTTGGCAGAGTTGCAGAGCTGTCCCTTCCTTCAGTGCCAAACAAGCCATCTTTAAAGACTTGATCTAGAGCAAGACTGTACAACCTGAGAAGAAAAGCTTCTGTAGCAGCTAAGACTGAAATGCTACGCTTTTGGCTCACAAATCACTCATCCAGCATTTAACAGGCTGAAATGCATCCACATTTGGAGAAGCTGCCAAAGAAGGTACGAAGCTGTGACACAGAATGCTTAGCTCCAAAGGCAGGTTAAGCGCAGCACTGCAGCAAGCTCCTCTCTCCAGCATCATGCTCCAGTCCAGGCTGGGGGCAAGGGCACACTTTGCTTCTCCTACATCGTTCATTCCACTCACGCAGAGACCAGACATTGCAAAGTTGTACTTGCCAACATCTCCCCATCAGAAAATGGACCAAACCCATGAGTTCAGAGGACAAAAGCAATTGTGTTAATGCCACCCTGCATTCTAATAGCTGGAACTGACTGGAAGTTAAGAGCAAACCCAATGGCTCCGTCACTACCTTCCACTCAGCAAGCTCAGTCACTTGCTGAAGCTGCATTACCAAAGCAGGTCTAAAAGGTCAGGAACATTTTGCATTTACAAATGCTTTGGAACACTAATCTGACTTTAAAGAAGTCAGTTACTTCAGGGACACGCATATAATGACATCACATCTCCTTGAGAAGATGAAAGCCTCTGCTCTGACAGAGTATCAGCCTTCCTACATCTGTCTGTTTCTGCTACTATTCAGAAATTAGTTGTATGTTTGAGAAATGCTTCAAACAGGCACGCATAGGTTACAGCTGGACAAGAATTCTGTCATTTACAGTCATCTCAGAGTTTTCTATTGAGACACTTTCCTGTCAAGTTAACAGAAGATTCCCCATGAGGAATCCCACCACAGCTGCAGGATGTCCAAAGTTGGCACACAGAGTAGATTCAATCAAACCAGTAATGGTGACAAATGAAAATGAGAACATTTCAGTGCCTTTTAGGCTTCCTATCTGTATAAGTGTTAATACTGATACCAGAATTGAAGTCATCTCTGGAATCCCATCCACCTCCTCTGGATTCTCTGGAACCTCCTCCCATTCCTAGGAAAAAAGCCACAATTTTGTTCAAGTCTGAAGCTGTGGGAGACTGAGCAAGGGAACACCAAACCAATGTTTTAGTCCTTCAATATACAAAGTTATGCTGCTGGAAAATCCTTTTCTTTTGCTACTACCAAGTTCCATTGAACAGGAACAGTCAGTTTAAGCTAACCAAGAATAAAGTGTCCAGAAAAGTTTCTTTAATCCACATTCAATGGAAACCTCAGGTGAGTCCAGTTAAACCAACCTTCAACTGCAGGCAAGAATGCTTTTGCACTGGAACAAGAGACATACTCCAAAATAAGCACTTGCCTACGTGTGCTTACTCACTTGTCATACATCATCATAAAATAGTAGCAGATCAGACTGTTGGGCTTATGATTGTCCTCTGCAAGACACAAAACATTATTAGGGGTATTGGTCTCACTTCCTGGGTTAGGAGTAACAACACATCCAGCCTTTGGACACAAAGCACAGCTAAAGTTCAGACACCTCAGGAGCGGCAGCAGCAGCTGGTTAGAAATGTATATATATATGCATACAAAATTTTGCCTTTCAATATAATCTTCATGTTCACTTGCATGCCTTGTCTTAGCATTAGTCAGCACCAGAAGCCATAACCACAACCATTATATTTAAGAAACTACTTAGAAAACTGGAAGTCACCTCTGTCATCAGGCCCGCCGCCTTTTCTGAAGCCAAAGCCACCTTTATCCTGTTTCCTGCCTTCTGCTATGTCCACTCGGAGTGATCGGTCGCCCAAAAGCTGTTAAATCAAGGGGAGAATCTGGTCAGGATGGATCAGAAGGGCTGCCAAAGAGTCTGAGACTTATGCTTGTCTTTGATCTCACAAATTAATTGCAAGTGTACTTACTGCACCATCGTATGTAAGAGCTTCCTTGAGTGACTCCACCTCATCGAACTCTACATAACAAAATCCTGTAAGAAACAAATGTCAAGTTAATAACACTTTACAAGGCCTCTGCAAGAGCCTTCCTGCTAACAGCTTCTACACATGAGTTGTGATGTGCACATGCAAAATGCACATGGCTCAGAAACCAATCATCATCAACAATGAACACATTTACCTGCACCTGTTAATGATGAGGCAAACCCTGAAATAGAACTCTGGGCATTTTGTGAATGTGTCTAATTCCCTTTTCCACAGAGTTCTCATTATAGATTAGATCTGATCTATGCCTTCAGACAGTTTTTCAGCTGAATACTGACACTTTGTTCCTAGTGTTTTTAAACAAGAAATTGAAATACTCATGTGGGCAGCAGTATGATTTTGTGTCATCACATCATTTACTGGATTTACTCAAAGGCCCTATGTTTTCCAAGGTAATTCTTTTCCACCCCTTAAACTAACTTAAAAATATAGTCCATTTCCACCAGACAATCCCCATAGCATTGAATTTGCATCCCCTAAAACAGCTGCCTGAATGGGTTATCTACTTGCTTTCTCTCCTTGTCTACTAAAAAAAGACAGAGCTGAAGCAATGGGAGTCTTCTGAAGTAAAGGAATTAATACTTAAGGTCATGGGGCTTAAGCGGGTCAGCTCTGGTAGAATTCATACCAGACAAGGTCTGAGAAAGTTCTTTCATGTCAGAACAAATATTGACTCCTCACTCAGGTTACTCTGTATCTCAAGAAGATGAAACAGTGACTCATTCAAATGATACATATTAGTGAATAAGAAAACCTGCATGTCAACATAAAAGGAGAGAAAAAACTGTGCTTTAGACTGAAATTCCCTTTTAAAGTGACTTTTTTGCCTACTCATTTTTCATCTACCACCAAAGAACTCTGAACGCTCACCTTTAAATTTGTCTGTTTCCTTGTCTCTGACTAGTCGTACGCTCCTTATGCTGAGATCCTTGAAAATGGCATCTATGTCTCCTTGGACAGTGTTGAAGGGCAGATTTCCCACATATGCTGTGAAAGGGGGTTCTGTTGGCAGCTCTTTATTTCTGCGGGAACCAAGGCCGCCACCACGAGACCTGTTGGGAAAAGCACAGTGTCTCTGGAACTGCCTCCCAGCACAGCCACAGTGCAGCCCACAGCACTGCTCAGGTGCTGGCTTTAGATGCAAGTCCATTTTTCCACAGCTTTGGTCAGTTTTTCTGTCCTTTTGCCTGTACCTGCTGCCTGAACAGTTGGTCAACTCCTTTCCAGTATTTCCTGCTGCAGTACTTGAGTGGGAAACTGAATACATTACGAGCTGAACTCATTAATGAGGTGATGAATGAACTTCTCAACTCACAATTCATTAAGGAAAGCAACATAAGGCTACCTTTAATGTCTCCTGCTCAAAAGCATTACCTCTAAAAAAAAAACCATCTTAGAATAGATTTTAAGCATAATTTATGGCAATAAATACTTGTATGGCACAGGTTTGTCAGCTTATCTGGAAATTAAGCTGGATCCAATGCTTTTAACTAAACAGTATGTTACCAACACCCACTCCACAATCATCCAAATTATCTCAGCAACATTTAGCTTAAGAGAAACACCTTCCCCTAAGTCTAAAGCTGTGGCCATAATTGTTGGATATTTGGACTGGATGCTTTGGACTGAACACAGAATAAACTTGGTTCAACAAGGCAGAAAAAAATCACAGGCTGTCTGGATGCTTACTTCTTTTGTCTTGTGAATTACAGAGGTAAACTAGGTGGTCTTTCCCTGTCTTGCCCCTCAGTACCAGTTAAACTCTTGGTACTGGGTGCTGAGGAAATAAATTGTACCAGCTGAATTCTTTCCTGTACTAATGTAACACATCTGTCTGAACTTCCTGCAGAGCCTAATCTTCAAAAGCCAACTTGGAATTTCTGTACAGAGAGCAAGGTATGTACAAGACAACCTGAAATGAAAGCTCCTAGATTTGTAGGCTATAGGATGCCACTGGTTCCAACACCATTTGTCCCACATAAGCAATCTCTGACCTTTACCTGAAATATCTACTTACTATGTCCATCTTCCCTTTATCACCTTCCTTCTACTGGGCTTTGCTCATGTCTGTTTCCTTTCCCTGAGGCTCCCCATGCATTTATAACCATGGTGGAACACAAGCTGTACCAAAGCAGGATTTACCAATGTGACATGAACCAATTAAATTGCTCCAGAGTCCTTCCTAAAATCCAGAAGGTCAAATAATTTTATCATTTCCTTTTATTCTGGCTGGCTGCATGCAGTCAAAAAATCCACTGGGCAAGCAAGGTACTTGACAGTATTTAATAAATATTTTACTACTAATGAAACAGATAATGCATTAAGCTTGAATAAGATTCTTTAACTTTTCCTAGGTGAGCTTGTCATTTGTGCCTTATTTTGCAGCTCCATGCAAGAATCATTTGTCACCAACATTATCAACATGCTGCTAAATCTACTTGAATCACTATCTACATATCTTTAATTAGTGTCCACCCAGGTTTGCATTTTAGCATTTTTGACAATATTCCTCATCTGCCTTTGTCTCATTAACAAGTCAAAAACATACTGGAGAACTAAAGCTGTAATAGTTGTGAATTACTTTAGTTACAAGACTGAGTTTAAAGAAGGAGCTCCAAGAAAGCTGAGCTGCTGTTCTAAATAATCCCATAATACATAGAATCAGTTCCATGCCTTTGTCCTTATTTATCATCTGTAGCATTAGGAACAGTTATTATAGATCATATATTTAATTTGCATCCAAAAAAGAAAATCTTAATGTTTATGTCCTACAGGAATATCAATCAGACTTGAGTTTGAAAGGAGCTTGTACATATTCTCAGGGCATTCCCTGCGCTGCCAGTCACCTCACAGGGAGCTGATTCACCTACAAATCCACCCTGGAGTTGAGTCCTCAGCCAGACCAACAAGGTGATCTGGACAGCTGCAAAGAGCACTTTGCCAAGATGGCAATGAGACGGAGAACAAGGGCTGGAGCTACAACTTTCATCAACAATCTCCACTCAGCTCTGTCTGAACCACTTCTAAAACCACAACTCTCAATCCCCAAAGGGATTTTCTGTGCTATAGACAAACCTCCTTTCTGCCACAGTGCACCAGAACTTCACAGGCTGCATGTGTGGAAATCCATTCCCTGTTGTGCAATCCAGATTGATTTGAAAATCAGAAAATTAAATATTTTTCTCCAATTTGATATTAAGGTGCTGGTTATCAAATATATAACTATACCTTTGGTATTTTAGTTTCCATTTGAAGAACAGGAATGGTCAATAACTATCTTTCGAACCAAGTTTCTTATGGAACTCAGGTATAGCACTACAAAAAGAAACTGTTTCTGTACTTCCCTACATCTTTTCCAACACTGAAACAGTGAAATAGAAGAAAGGGGCTGACTTCAGTAACCAAACAATGAGATTGGAACATTCTCTCATTTGCAACAACGTAGGACAAAAGTAAAAAAATAATTGAAAACACATCTGAACTAGGCAAACCAGAGATCCAAATGAATATCTGCATCTCCCACTCTAAACTTTTGCTTAGACACAATTAGGTAATAATTATGTCATCTTACTGTGAGAATCTGAAAAACATGACTTGATTTCCTTCCTAGAAAACCAAAGCAGAAAGCTGAAGAGGAAAGCTTGCTTCTAGCAACACCTCCAAAATTGAACTTTGGTGGGCTGAGTTAATGCCTTTGGCCATATTGGGTAGAAAACAACTAAACTCCCATTTTGAAGCTACTCTTTTGCAAAGTTTAGTTACATCTCCGGAAAAGATTTGCCACAAGTTCAAAATGAAGGATATTTTGAATCCCAGTATCTGAGTTATATAGCCTTCCACTATGGACCAAAACTCAAGATTTGCCTTTTGCACAGCACAGACACAATAGCCTACCCGGGTTCTTACATGAGAGTTTTTCTGGGGCAGCATAAGGATCAGCAGGATGACAGCATCAACCCTGCAAGACCACAACACTACCAAATTCAAGCAACCCAGGACATGTCTGCAGTAAGTATCAGATGTCTTCAGCAAAATGCTTATCCAAGCCTAAAAATTAGGAGATAGCTTTCAATGCTGGATGGGTAAGACATGGGATCCAAGCTGGCAGAAGCATAAGGACTAACTCTCCATTTTCACTGAACTTCAGCAGGTGAATCTTAACCTTTAGTAGGGTGCCCAGCACTTCAAGCCACACCTAAATAAACAGCCTAGCAGTGAGTTAGGAGTGGTAAATACTCCCCACTTCTTTCTACCCTGAGAAGCTCTACAGACTTTCAGTTTCAATTAGGCCTCAGTAGGCTTAACAGGCTTACAGGTTTTCCTGTCAAATTTTGGGCTCCAAAATACTTTCTAAAAAGCTTTATAGTAAGCCTTTTGTCATTTATGTCAGCATCACATTCTTCACCAGGAATAAAGTGACTTCTGCATCCCCTAATATTATGATTCAGCTTTTAGTCAGTGCATCACTAAACATCTCAGGTATAGCAAAATCCCATCTCATCACACCAGTCATTTCCTGATGCTCTTCCACCATTATTTTGATGATTATGAGAAAGAGGCAGATAACTTAGAACCTGTTGGGCACTGATTTCCCATCTGTCATACTGAAATCCTGTGCTCACTCGCTCTGTATACCAAATATTATGCAAAATGCAACTTCCACAAAAACTACTACATCTCAGCTGAGTTTACATTAATCCTACAGTCCAAGATAGCCTAAAAATGAGCAGAAGCCACTTTAAATTAACATGGGATTCTTTAATCAGAACCTTCAAGAACAGTCATGCTTTCATTACACTTCATACTACAGGACTTCATACAACATACACCTGTTAAATTGTGTTAAGTTACCTGTTAAGTTACTAATAGCTATTAGTAACTTAATAGTGATTACAATAAATTAGATAGAAGTACACACTGGACTCTAATATCAGTAGTATCTGATGTTTACAACCACAGGTAAATTAGATTAAGTACATTTTCTTATCTGTAAAGACATCTACTAATTTGCAGGATGCCTTTTGTTTACCAAGCAAGGATCCACATCTTCCCTGACAGTAAATTTAAGTTCTCTTACAGGAATTGGAATATAAAATAACATTTTAACTGGCATTTTATTACTATACAGAATATGCCTACATTGACTAGGATACACTGTGCAGCAATACCTGAGTTTATAATGAGTCAAGCACCACTTTAGGCTGCTGGAAAGGTTATTTTGTAACAAAATTTTAAAAAATAACAGAAATGCAAGTGGCTACACCATCTGTTTGCTCTGGGACATTTCTGAATTAGACACAAAGAGTATCAGTGCACAAAAATGAGCTTGAGATGCTTGAAGCATCAGAATACTTCCAAAGACAAGAACTTACTGCTGTTCTAAGTCCAGCAGCTCCTCCCTGCTGCCTAAAGAGTCTGAAATGAAACCAAGTTATTCATCTAAGAGCAAAAACGGGCACAAACACTGTTGATAAGGCAATACACCCTTGAAGACCTGATTATACAGTAATACATTTGTGAAAATTTGCTCACAAGGAGGTTTAGTCCACAAATTTATGTCTACTGTTTTATTTCAGTACACACAGAAACTTGTAACAGCACCAACCTCCAAAAAAATCAATTGTTTGATTGCACTTTCCTAACCCTAATTAAGACAAACTTCTAATTACTCGTTATTGTGTCTTAAGCTCCTCCCCTAAAAACACTCTTCAGCAAAGAGACGGAGACAAGTCCGATTCCTAAGGATCAGGGATTTACAGCACCCGGAGCCCCGGATAACGCAAGACGGCGGCTCCCAGCGCTACTCGAGCGGAGACACCACAAAGGCCTCCCATTTCCTCCCGCCGCAGGCACCACAACGCTGCCCGCTCCCAGGGCCGTCTAGTCCCGCCAGCACAGCGGCCTCCTGCTCTGCTCCAGTCCTGCAGGGACGGTCCCTCCGCCCATCCCGGTCCGGCGCCGCACAAGCTCCTCACGGCCTTCCTTGGCTCTGGCCCAGCACCTCCCTAAATCCCCCCTCCAGTCGCCTCCGGGACGGCGGGAACAGCGACACCCTTTTCATCCCGCCGCTTCCCGGCGCTCCCGAGCCGCCCGGCCCTGAACCCCGCGGCGCTGGCCGGAG